TCAGGGAGGAACATTTGTTATTATTAGACAGGATCCAGGCCGTTATAATTGCTTTAGCTGAAAAAATATAATTATGAAAAATATAGTTATGACAAATACACGTAATTTTTATTAAATCGGGTTAAATTCTCTTTTCACGCGTAGTAGGCAAACAGTATAAAACAAACCCTTTTCCCAGCGCATTTATGCAAGATAACTATTGCTATTAAAAAAATCAAGCGATATTATCTAAAAAACTTGATCCACCAATAAAATCTCAATAAAATTACTACGCCTAATCATGTCCAGTTTGTCATTGCTCAACTCTTCGGGGGTCATGCCTTTTTTGACCTTAACCGCTGTTTTTTTGTTTATTGGTCCAGTGTTATACATAGGGATCGCTACCATGTGGTCAAATCTCAAACAAAAAATGTCCGATGAACTTTCTGCACGTGTCACTAGAATCGTCAATGCAAAGAATGGTACACCGGAAATCGAAAACATCTTCAGTAAACTTACCGCAGAAATCTCTAAAATCAATTCACGTGATGCTGGCTACGTCTCTGAGGCGCAGAAAATTTTATCGATGGTCAATAATGTGACCACGAGACTTGATAATATCGAAGATGCCTGCCGTAATGATTTTGGCAACATTTCATCTGAATTCACTTCGATCAAGACCTCTATTGAAGCTCTCCGAAATGAAATGATCCAACGTTATGCAGTTGCTCAAAAGCATCGAGACGAATTTGATCAGAAGAGTACATCATCCGCTTCATCCAATTCATCTCTCGAAGAAAATAGGAACCGTTTTAAGCATGTTTTCGACTCGAAAAAGGAAGTGGGGGATACTTTGGATTATGCGATTGAAACCGTGAGACGTGAAGTTCGTGATCTTACTGGGGAAAGGATTGGGAAGAGTACTGTGGAAAACTTTTATTATGGTAAAGGAGATCCAAAATTTAGCACGGTGATGTCAATTATGAGATGGGTAGAAGGTAAAGAAGTTGCTAGTAGTGTAAATAATAATAATGCGAGTAGCGCAAATAGTAATAACGAAAATAATATTGGGTAGTGAGAAGGAACCGCCTTTTACGGTCCAGGGGCCGGCGGAAAGCATGATATTATTTCATTTCGTGCTTTATTCCTCCCTTTAAACGTGATCTACTCCAATATCTTTTATTAGTTTCATTTTTTTTAATAATTATATTTGCCGGCCGAGCTCTTTCTTGTTATGTATTACTTTACAAAAATATAATAAAGAATTTACTTTGAATTTTTAAACGTGTGTTTGTTTTATGTGTATATATTCACTATAGATATTTTCCTGAAACGTAAGAGAGCGCAGAAATAGGATCCGTATACTCCCTCCCTCTTTAATAGCATCATACATTTCATTCGCTACCTCCACTTTTTTACTGAAAAATTGATTAAAGTTGCAGTGCACCAAAAATTATTGTTTATATGCCAATTTTTATATGTAAATATTTTCACTTTATTATATCGAATTTTTTTTTTGGAGATAGATACAGAAATTGATTTAAAATTATAGAAACATTATAGGTATGAGTAAAAATTTAGCATAAGTTAGAGATCTGCAAATTATTTGTAAAGCAAATACTAAAAGTGATATTGCGTAGGGTTATTAAAGGTAAACAGTGATTATAGAAGTTTATGAAATTAAAAAATCGTGCTGTTTTTCTTGCTTTTCTTTTTTTTCCCTTTTTTCTTGCTCGGGATTTTTTTATAGAATTCTTCAAGTTTCCGGGGTTTTGGATAATCCTGAAGTATAAGATCATGTGTAGTACGTTCAGCTTCAGTATCTGGAAGAGAGAAAATTAGTTATACAAAATTACGTTAAGAAAATAATCAAGATTGTACACATACAATACTCAAGTTCAAAAATAATTCCATCATCATCAATACTCCATGCCACCTCTCCAGTCCAGGGTTTTGTTTTTGCCTCTTCCAAAGAATTTCCGAGTGGCCACAATACATAAGACATCATATCTAGCTCAAAAAGTCGACCATAGCAATCTAAAAAAATTATACCATGTTCACGCTTCCCAACGAGTATTATATGATTAAAGCTAAAATTTTGAACTTCATCAAAATATGTTCCATAACCCGATTTTGCATTCATACACTCGGTAAGACTTGATACTTCACAGGGCCCTTGGTTAGTAGCATCTGCAAGCTGATGACGGCCGGATTCACTTGCAATAATATCGATTACCATGTATGAATTGTTGCAATACCCTTGAGTCTCAATGAGTGTGCTACCCTCTGACACATTATGCAAGGATCTCTGACTACCATCTCTCCCAATTCTATAGCGTGGCTGTACAAATCGACATGATGTCCATTTTGCCCCTTCATCGCTTCCCACGGTACCGATTCGGCGCAATTGCCCCAATTGTGCCTGCAAAGCTTCAATTCTTGTGCTGTTAGAGCACGATTTACCCCTTGAAATATCATCATATTGTTTGACCTCAACTTTGCTACCTCCATTTTTATTGTTGCTACATTTGATCTCGTTAGTTGTGGCGGTTTCCCTGGTGATAAGCCAACTGAAACTCCCGCCATGAATCTCTTTATTTTTTTGTCTTGTATCGTATGTGTAAGGTTTATCATACGTGGGCGGAATGCCTTTCTTGGTTCTATCTTCATGAGCTGTCTCCTCAATTTTACCAGGTTCCGTGTGAGACATTCCCTTTGCTTCTCGATAGTTGCTTTCCTGATGGGAAGCTTGGCATAGAAGCTCCATAAGAGGCAAGACGCGTCCGAGCTCGTATGTATAGGAATCGGTGGGTAAGGACCGCATTGCACTAACCTTCCCTCGATTTTCATTTCCTTTACTTTCCTGCCGTTTACTTTCTTCACATCGGTCGGCAGAGTGCTGTGGAAATAGGTTTGTTAAAAAACGAATTCTTTTCTCTCTTTAAAACTATCTATCTAGATTACCTCAACGGTTTTAGAAAATCCTTCACAAGTTGTCTCATCCATCGTTTGGGAGGGTTGTTCAACCAAGCAGAAAAACTATTATTGGTGCAAATCAGGTGAGTGGCAATCGGTTGTTGGACGTCACGTGCTACTTACTTTTTTTTCCTGGGAACCATAAAATGTCGATAAAGAAAAAAGTATAAAATATTCCGTTAGTTCTTTCAATAAGAAAGTAAAGAGTTAATTAAACGCGAAATCGAGAGTTAAACGCCTCTTTATAGATAATTACATTTACAAAATTAATGAATCAGTAAAAAAAAAATGAAATGAACCAGTAAAAAAATCTAATGATGTAATGATGTAATACATTTAATTTGTAATAATGGGAATATATAACCCTAATCCCAACCCTAAATCAGCCCATTCCTTGGAGTTGCGCTCTTTTAAATTTTCCTAGCAGTAATATGTGATTGATCCATCCAACTAACCGACAAAAATTTCGCGATCACATGATTTCTTCCTCTATCGTGCTCTATCGTGTCACATCACACTTTTATTATCACATTGTATATGTGACGGCTGATTATCACTAATTACCGTGTCACATGATTGATCCCATTTTACTGCGCTTCAAGTCATATGACTTTGTGGACCAGATTTTTGAGAAAAATAAACATTATTTGCACCATACATTAAAGATTTACCAGAAATCATTAGACTGGAGTCGCAAAACTATGGATCAGAGGCCTGAATGCCCAGCACCCTTAACATTACCTATTTCTTACGTTTCAGATAATGGGACTCAAACGGATAATACATCTGATCATGAGGCGAAAATTATTAGCTGGGTTAAAATTTTGCAAAAGCAATTGATTAAATATAATAAAGAAACCTTTGACCGATTTATGCAAAATCTGACTAGGGAACGAATTAAGTCAAATAATCAACTGCGCCATGAAATTAATAAAATGAATGCGCAGGTGCAGGGGATAGAAAAAGCTCTTGCTTATATTGGGAAATAATTAGCCGACCATATCGTATAGAAACTCGCCAGCTCCTGGAACTCTCCTAGAATTGTCGTGGAACTGGCAGGGATTTAGGGAGATCACATGTGATACAAATTTAGTTTAGCCGTCCCTTTTTTTTGTTTACTCTTCTTGATGATCGGGTCTCATAGGAGGACTTTCACATGATTGGCCGATCATGTTACACGAATTTTCTAATTGATATTGTAAATATTTATACAT